GAAAGGAAAGGAAAGGAAAGGAAAGGAAAGGAAAGGAAAGGAAAGGAGGAAAAAAAGCTTGGTAACTTGGCAATGAACAAGAAAGCTGAAATACTGAATATTTCCAGACGTTGAATGCTCACTTGGTGCTGGCTGGGTCATAGACAGAAAGTCTGATTGGATCAAAGATGGTTGGGTAGGAGCAATGTTAGATCCCATTGAAGCATTTGTCTGCAACCAAGATGAGATCTGGGGAGAAGGATCTGGAAAACTTTTCAGAGTAGCAGAGTTTTGCCATATTGTGAACTGTTGTGGGATTGTTTCATCCTCTTTCACAACAATGGTCTTAGCTTGAAAAGGCATCCTTTGGGCTGGAGAAAGAAAAAAGAAAGAAAAGAGCATGCATCAACAGAGCTTCTAATGGGACATTTATGATCGACTTAAAGAGGTTTGTCGCTCCTGGAGTAGAATGTGTCTTTATGTCTGATAACTTTCTTGGGAAGGAAGAGATTTCATTGGTTTGAATGCATGGTCCTATTGCAATCAGACATATAACTTCACTTCCTTGCCAATATTCTTTAACTAAACTCCATAGGATGATATCACCTTGATTCAGATCTATTATATTTAACAGATTAACAGGTTGAAGAGTTGGAAGGAACCTTGTAGGTCATCTAGCCAATATCTCTCCCTTCTTTCTTTTTTTTCAGTCTCACAGAAAGATAATTCTTCTTTTTCTTTCAGTCCAATACATATTTTTTTATCATATATACTCATATGACATTCCAGATTGAAATGTTCTGCAAACCATCGGCTTCATCAGAGGGGCCCATAGATATTGACCTCTGACATCCATCATGACATTCATTCATTCTCATATTATTTTTGTTATTAAAATAAAGTATAGACTGTTGTTAGTTTGGGCACATTTTGGCCAGTAACCCACACTTACAACCAAACCCACTTTTAACCCCTGCTCTTAGCTGGGTCTTGGCTGCAAGTCACAAGCTCTAAACTTGAGATGATCTTGCAATCCAGTTTGGAGATACATTTCTTGCCTTCTGTTCAACTGTATCTGATTCTTGGAGACAAGAATCCCTGCAATTTTCTTGGTGAAGTTTTCCAGGAGGGGTTTGCCATTTCCTCCTTCCTTAGGCTAACAGGGCAGGGCTAAAACTCAGAGACTTCTAATTTCACCAAATTGGCTTTCACATACAATATACTTATATGCCATTTTGAATGTATTCTAAATAAATGGGAGACTGGAATAAAAATTATCTTAAGCAAGTAAAATTCCTTAAAATAAATGTGATAATATTATACTGCATGAAGTCAGGGATGGTTTGAGCAGTCTATGTGTCAGGGCTCGGGCAGTTACCCCTATTTAAAACATGAGTCTCTAGCCAGATTTTCAAAACTTAAAGAAGATTTATTAGGGGTAAACATGCCGGCGCTGCCTGGGTGTAGCCAACTCTGAGACATATCATTCATTGTCAACCTTGATCCCCACCCCCTGGGTGTATCGTAATTCATATTCTCCAATGGGACACATTCATAGCCAAGAGTCATCAATCATTCTCTCCAGTTAGAATTTTGCGTGGCAGAAACTTCGGTCACCTAGAAACTATCTTTGAAAACATCCATGGAATGCAAGTTGTCCAATGCTCCCCCCTCCCTTTCTGTTGGCAATTCTAAAAAAAACCATAGACATATTTCATGAGTTGACACTGTGATCGATTGGTTGAAATTATCAAATTCATACCACACAACTACATAGCCTATATAAGAATGGTGCAGTGGCCTAGAGGTGGAGCTATCGCGTCACAATCAGGAGACTGTGAGTTCAATCCTAGGTAGAGGCAGATATTTCTCTCTCTGGGCACAACTGAGAATATATCTGCTGAACAAAACTCCACATTGGTGACAGAAGGACATCCGGCCATTAAATACTCTTCTAGCTCCATTCATTCGTGCAGACTCCACCCCGCAAGGGGTTATGGGGTCGTTAAAAAAAGATGAGGTATATAGCCTATACAGAACTCACTATGAGCTGGCAGAAATCTTGACGAAGTGCTGGAGACTTCTATAGCAGCAGCAGAAGACTTTGCCAAGGTTGTTTTAGCAGATGAAGGACCGGATTCTTTGGACGCGTTGGTCTTCAGCCACCAGGAAGCTTGTACCAATGGAACTTCTGGTCCCTTTGCTTTTCCAGGTTTCAGCCAATTTGGCTGCTTGGTCAATAACGAGTCTTCCTTCAAGGCACCAGTTTGTGTCCAGGCAGACAACTTTGAAGCTGGAAGATGTTAAACAAATTTATTGTTTGTGGAATACGTTCACACTCATATATTCCCATTGATTGTATATAAAGGCTGTACATAGATATTAGATCTCTAGGGATACCACTTGACATGCTTAACAGGCTAAATGTCGATAGGATGAACTACAGAAAAGCAGACAATTCTGTCCCCAAACAAAATGTAATATTGCTAATAAATTGATTAGCCTGTTGTTTCACTAGCTTGCGTCCAGGAGGTATCTTCCTATTCTTCCACCATCATTAGATCGGCAATCTTGTGAACATTTGTAGCCCATGAATGAGGGATGGAGGGATGATAGATGTATGGATGGAGGCAGGAAGGGATAAAACTTTATGGCTATTACTAAATGGAGTATGGAAAAACAGTGGTTGCATGTGAGGAGCGTTGACCATGTTGTAAGTATGGAGGCTACAAACCCTAGTATTTACAGCTGGCCAGTTGAAATCAGCTTACATGCCAGCCAGCTTGTCAAGGTGGATATATATTTTCTGAAGAGCAAGAAAATGTCCGTCATGTGTACAACAATCAAATTCTTTCAGCCCCTCCTATCGGACCTAAGTTATTTTAAAATATGAGCAGATCTTCAAGCGGAAACCAAGGAACAAAGGCTGACCCTCAGTCTCAAAGAGCTTCTGATTAACGTTTAGACTTACTAGAAATCTGGGAGAAAATAGAAGAACCTGCTGCAGAAAAATCATATTTGTAAAGTTAGGTATGTGTCTAGCCCAGAATATTCATTTTTGGCGTGGCACCAGCCTTTTGTTGTTGTTGTTCTTATTCCTGGTCCACATCTTAATTCCATTTTCTTATTTCTCTCTCTAAGTGGAATAATTCAAAATTTGGTGTAAAATTCTGACTTTATTTCACCCAAGTCAAACGGTGAAACTGAAAAAAAAAAAAACCCGAGCTTCTGGACTTTTTCCTCAAATGGGGGGAAAAAATGAAAATTTTGATTTTAGGTTTTGATTATTAGAATGGTTTTGGTGGTCTAGAAATGGCTTGAAATGTGGAGAAATATAAAGCTTTAAAATAAAACAGATTCTTTTTGTAATCTGCTGCATTTAAAAAAGTCAGAGGTCTTTCTTTCTTTCTTTCTTTCTTTCTTTCTTTCTTTCTTTCTTTCT